CCCCTCTCCGGCCCCCGGTCCAAAACAGTCCAGTGGCACCTTTAAGACCAGGTTTTATTCAGGTACAAGCTCTCCCTCCTCTGTGAGGACAGATCTGCATGTTCCCCCCCCCCCCGCAATAGCTAGCAATCCAAAACAGTCCAGTGGAGCCTGAGCAGTGGGTGTTGCCTTCTGACATACTTCCAGTGATATCGGGGGTGTGGCATATGCAAATAAGTTATGCAAATAAGTTACGCTAATGAGCTCCTGCACCTCTTTTTCTACGAAATGACCCCTGGGTAGAGGTATCAGCTATGGGACCCTGCATCAACACTGGGACAGCCGAGAGAAGCAAAAACCTTCATGAGTTCATTGCTGCTGGTTCGTTGCCATGGCTGTTAGACCCGTTCTTCTACCTTTCTCAGCTTTTGGTTGAGTCCTGCTAGGAGTCATTTCCTGAAGGAGCGCACAGGAGCGGAGCTCCAACAGTAACTTGGCAAGCCTAGAACCTGATATTGCAAGGGGGATTGCCCACTTCCAGGAGTGCAGGCTACGGAGAAAAGGGCTGCTTTAACGGGTGGGCAGTATGACATCACATTCCCGCTAAACTCCCTCTCCAAACCCCACCCCCTCCCCTGGCTCTACCCCCAATTCTCCGGGAATTTCCCAACTAGGAGCAGGCAGCCCCGCATATTCCTGTTTACTGGTCCTCAGCCAATACACCCTTCTGACGGTGGGTGTTGCCTTCTGACACACTTCCGGTGATGTCAGGGGTGTGGCATATGCAAATAAGGTATGCTAATGAGTTATGCTAATGAGCTCCTGAACCTCTTCTTCTACAAAATGACCCCTGAGTCCTGCTGATTTTACTTGTGACTCTCTTTTGGGCTAATGCTGTCTTTGCCCTTTTAGACTTGGCTGCCGTGATATTTTTGGTCTTTGTGAAATGGTAGCACCTTGTGTTTGGGAGGCATTGTCTGTTTTGGCCTCTCTCCAGCCCCACACCCCAAGGACAGAAGGCAGTGTGGCTGTTCTCTCTTCTCACTACAGGCCTCCATTCTGCCCCCTATCCTGAGAATCTGCTGAGACTCCCGGGGGAAAGAAAAATCCAGGGGTCAGGCCGCAGTTGGGGGAGGGAGCAAATTTCATGTATTAAAATTACTGTGCATTACGTTCTTTTTGTCTATCCTAAATCTATTACCAGTCGATTTCACTGGGTAGCCTCAAGCCTTAGTATTATAATAGTGGGAACGACCTTAAAATATTTAAGAATGATTTTAAAATATTGATACCCAGCTTTTGAAATTTTAAATTGTTGTAATTCTGGCATTTTTAGATGTACAACTGAATTTTATGTTGAGTGCCATGCAACGTTTTAAATCTTAAGTATTCTCTGAATGTAATTTTGTATTGTAACGGCCAATGGCCATGTACAATAAACCTAATCTCTCTCTCTCTCTCAGTGGGAAAGTCTTCCCCTAACCACTCTCTATGCACCACTTGCCTTTTTGAGAGCTTAAGAGAACGAGCTGCAAATCTGAGCGTTCTGGGTTCAAATGTTACCCTTGCCTCAAATCTAGGCAAGCTACTCTCTGTCAGCGTCTGAATGCACATGAAGATGAGAGGGAACGTCACCAATATTCCCTCTAAGCTGTGGAGTCTTGTGAGCAAAAATTCTACTTTGTGAGCTACTGGCATTAAAGTTGTGAGCGAGCGATTTGGCTGTTGCATAAATTAGCTTGCTCTGGAGCCATTCTTCCTGAGCTACGACAAAAATGTGTGAGCTGGAGGCTAAAAACTGTGAGCTAGCTCACAGTAACTCAGAGGGAGCATTGAACCAGTTTAAATGCTTCCCAGTGTCAAATCCTTTTGTGTATAGAAAGCTAGTAGTCCAAGCCGAATGATTTTGGCTTACCGTTCGTTTGGGCCAGCTAGCTTTCCACGTGCAGGGAGAGAGACAGTCGTTCAGACATGCCGCTACATGGTGTGGTACTTTTTTCCTGAACATCTGGAAGGACTCTGAGATACAGACTTGGTGAAGGCCACTTGGAAGCGCTGGAGACATGGGCAGTTCTTAACATCAAGAGTGATTTTGGTGCGTAAAATAGTTTGGCCCCTGCAGAGATTGCTGCATACGTGGGCACACAGGGGCTGCGGTCTCACACGCTACAACATCCACTTTGTCCACTTTCCAACTGGATTTTGCCAGTTCACACAGTAAAAATCCAGTTGGAAAGTGCGTTGAAAGTGGATTATTAGCCTTTGTGACTGCATCCAGGATGTGTATGTGCTGGAAAGCTGTGACCAATTGTTGCTTCCAGCATGTCATAGGACTTCATTTTATGTCTGAAAAGGCCTCTGGCGACTGCTTGCCTGTGCCGAGTGCGTGTCCCAAAGTCTGGGAAGCTAAACCCTTTGACCTCTGTGGACTTGGAATGACGTAACTCTGTGTAGGACTGAACCAGCGTGGTGGTGTGGTTAGGGTGCTGGCCTAGAAGAAGAAGAAGATTGGATTTATACCCCGCCCTTCACTGGGAGTCTTAGAGCGGCTTACAAACTCTTCCCCTCCCCACAACAGACACCCTTCCCCTCCCCACAACAGACACCCTGTGAGGTAGGTGGGGCTGAGAGAACTCTGACACAAACGGCTCTTTTTCAAGGACAGCTGTGCCAGAGCTTGTGACTGACCCAAGGTCACATCAGCAGGTGCAAGTGGAGGAGCGGCTCCTAACCACTACACCAGACTGGCTATCAGGTTTGAATCCTCCCTTGTGCCATGGAAACTTGGGATCGTCATTCCCTCTCTGCCTAGCCCACCGGACAGTGTGGGGAGGTCCTTGAAAGATTAGCGGGAGAACAGTGTCCTAGATGGAAAACCCAAGAGCAGTGGAAGAGCTGCCGCCGATCCCCCTGGATGGGCTTTCCCCTCTCTCACGTCGCACATGGTTGTTGAGTCTTGGTTTCTGGCTCTGTGCGGTCTCCCGTATGGGGTGTTCAGCATATCCTGAGTCAGAACCCCTTCCTTGCTTCTCTCTCCCGACTACAGATAACTACTTGACTGCAGAGGTTGGCTCCTGTACTTTGGTGTGTCCTCAGAACAGCCAGGAGGTGACTGTGGGCACTGTTCAGAAGTGCGAGAAATGCAGCAAGCCCTGCCCAGAAGGTAACGCTGAGTTTGGCTGTGGAGTGGTGGTGGGGAAGCAGGGGGATGGGAGGCTGTTTCAGGAGGACTCTCTAGTTCAGGGGTCCCCAGCCTTTTTGAGCCTGTGGACACCTCTAGAATTCTGACTGGGCGTGTGTCAGACTCACAGCAAACAACGAAATACACTCTTGCAGGAAGGTTTTATTTTATTGAAGCCATGAAGTACTTAGAACAGATGTTCTGTTCAGAATAACACAGAGGGCTTGAGACTGGTATAATAAAGCAAGTTCAAAATAACATGGGCCAATAGATATGGTTCCCGCGCCCGCCTTGAGGGCTCATCTCGCGCTCGAATCTTGAGAAAGCAACGGTTATAGCTGATTAAACAATTCTTCTATTCTCACACTACTGTTCATTATAGACTAAGCAAATAGCCTCCAAACGCGAACCACCTGTAGCCTTGGCCGATAAGGTTCCTTCAAAGCAACGCTAGCGTACATGGAAAGGAATGTAGTTGATGATGAGCGCTTGAGGGTGAGGGGGGACATGCGTACAAGAGTCCAAGCCAGTTAGGGAAAGGCAGAGGGGGGGGGGAGACACATCTCATATGCACGGAAAAGACATATTGGCAGCTTGCTGACAGCATGGTGGGCACAACCACAAAATGGCTGCCACAGGGGGTGGACCTAGTAACAAAATGGCTGCCACACTTTACTTTTGGTTGCCCAGTGAAGGGGTATTTTTTTTGCTGTGTTGATTTTTAAAAATCTGCACAACCAATCAGAAGCCTTGGTGCAAAACACAAGAGACCGCTGGTTGAAATCACTTAAAGTGAACTATGTACATATATTAAAATTATATTTGATGCCAAGTTCACTATCAGTATTCTTACAAGAAACAACACAAATGCAGAAAAATAATCACGATAGTACAGAGAAGTAAAGTCCCATAAATTTCAATGTGTCTCACGCCTGTTGCATTATAATTCCATAGTCCAAGGCCGAGCTCAGACTGGCAATTTGAAGCGCTAGGGAGTCATGGCAAAGAAGACCCGGAACAGACCGGGAATGGCTTGTTCACAGTATTCCCATTCACACTGCAGCGAATGAAGCGGGAGGATACCATGGAGGAAGTGCAAGGGAGCGTCTGTACTGTCGGCCCGCCCCTGGCGGGCTGTTAGCGGCTGTTTCTATGCTCCGCGCGCATGGGCACATGGGCGCCTGCCGCGGAAACAGCCAGCGCCTCTTATCAATGACTGCGGGTTGTTCCCGCCTTAGCAGCGCTTGCGTTCACACGTCAGGGAACCAGAATCAACCCGCTCTACACACGGTTTGCTACCACTGAGCCTACGGGGAGGGCGGGATAGAAATACAAATAATAAATAAATAAATAAACTTTCACCTGGTACTTTTTTAAACTCGGGAGGGAAGCGGCACAAGACGGCTTGAGTACGGCTGGGGGACGCCTGACAGATATGCCTGTGTGAACCCTTTAATCTATTCCTGAAACGCTCCTGAAACGTTGGCTGCCGGGCCAAACTGCCAGTCTGAACTTGGCCCAGATATCAGAAGCCTTGATCATATTTCACATTCGCACTAAAAGACGGGCCCTGGCTGCCACGCGGTCCTGTTTTGCAAGCCCTGAGCAGACGGGCCCAGAGTTCTGCTGTATGAACCTGCAAGGCTGGTTCAAGGTGTTTTTGTCACCCAGAGCAAGGTACACCCATCCCCTCCTGGGCCGTTTGGTGGCCGCAAGGGCTTGCCTTGCGCCCAGCTGTTGGTCGTGCAGAACCAGGAGGCCTTCTCCTCTTGTGTTGCTGCTGGCTGGCTGGCTGGCAGCCCTGTGGTGTATTGGCACCCTTTTCACGAATGATAATAGAAGACAAAAATAAGTGTAGTAAACAGACTCAACAATTACAACGCTGTCGGTCCCGCTGCAAGTCTGAAGCCATTGAAGCTGACTACATGTTGGAGATCGGCGTCCGATTTTGTATTCAATTATTCACAGACGGTTCCAAATGCACGTCAGTATGAGTGTGAAAACCACAGCCGCTTAAAGGGAACGCCCTGATGAAGGATGAGCTTTGAAACGTTGTTATCAAACATCCGGACACAACGTCAAATTATTTAGCAGTTCTCCATTGTTTATACATTGTGGCACACGCCAATTCTCCGTTGTTTACCTTTTGTACTTTTTCACTGTAGCTGCTTTGTATACATCATTCTCTATGACATGTTCTTCAGCTTTTTGGCTAGTTGTAATTGTTTTTGTCTTCTGTTATCAATATAAGTATAAGGGTCAAGAAGCAACAGTTAGAACTGGATATGGAACAACTGATTGGTTCAGCATAGGAAAAGGAGTACGACAAGGATGTATATTGTCACCTTGCTTATTTAATATATATGCAGAGTAAATCATGCGAAATGCTGGCCTGGATGAATCACAAGCGGGAATTAAGATTGCTGTGGCAAAGATCAACAACCTCAGATATGCAGACGATACCACTCTAATGGCAGAAAGTGAAGAGGACCTATTGAGCCTCTTGCTCAGAGTAAAAGAGGAGAGCGCAAAAGTGGGCTTGAAGCTCAACATCAAAAAAACTAAGATCATGGCATCCGGCCCCATCACTCCTTGCCAAATAGAAGGGGAAGTCATGGAAGTAGTGACAGACTTCACGTTCCTGGGATCCCAGATCACCACAGACTGTGACAACAGCCATGAAATTAAAAGATGCCTGCTCCTTGGGAGGAAAGCGATGGCGAACCTAAACAGCATGATAAAAAGTAGAGACATCACCCTGCCAACAAAAGTCCGCATGGTCAAAGCAATGGTATTCCCAGTAGTCATGTATGGCTGCGAGAGTTGGACTATAAGGAAGGCCGAGCGCCGAAGAATAGATTCTTTTGAACTATGGTGCTGGAGAAGACTCTTGAGAGTCCCTTGGACTGCAAGAAGATCAAATCAGTCAATCCTAAAAGAAATCAACCCTGACTGTTCCCTGTAAGGCCAGATAATGAAACTGAAGCTCAAATACTTTGGCCACCAAATGAGAAGGGAGCACTCACTGGAAAAGACCCTGATGCTGGGAAAGATTGAAGGTCAAAGAAGACGGGGACGGCAAAGGATGAGATGGTTAGACAGTGTCATAGATGCAACGAACATGAAATTGTGCCAACTTCAGAGGACGGCGGAAGACAGGAAGGCCTGGCGTGATCCGGTCCATGGGGTCGCGAAGAGTCGGAGTCGACTGTGCGACTGAACAACAACAACAAATTGTTTTTGTCTTCTGTTATCATTATATAGTAGTGTAGTGAACATTATTGAATGATCCCCTTTTCACTATGCCATCCCCAGAAGCTGTTGCTCAGCTGTCTTGGACAGAGAACTAGCTCTGTGAACTTGCCGTGAAGAAGTGAGCCATGAGTCACGATAGCTCACCCCCTGCCACGGATTTTGTTGGTCTTTAAAATGCCACTGGGCGCTTGCTCTTTTCTCCTGTGAACCCGCCCATTCTTTAAGATCTGCATCAGAGGCCCTTCTCTTACTGACTCTTTGGTGACAAGATAGGCGGGTAGCAACCAGAGAGAGCCTTTCTGGTGTGTGGGCGGGGTGTCCCATTTATAGAATATCATCCCCAGACAGCTCTGTGATACGCCCCACACGATCTTCATGATCGGCGCAGGGAGAAGACCTTTTTCTTTGCCAAGGCTTTCAGGAAGGACGGAGGTTTCTGCAGTTTTATCACCAAAACGTGTCATGGTTCTGTCGCTGTCCTGGAGGTTTCATGTCTCTCATTTTTAATTCGCACTTTAGTTGGTTTTGCTTTGATTCAGAGGGTTTTTTGAAGTGGTTTGGAAGTTCTTTTTAAAAAAGAACAGCAACATGAGGTTCTGGGGCCCTCCCCTGGGTGGGCTAGGTTGGCCTGATCTCATCAGTTCTTGGAAGCTAAGCAGCATTAGCCCTGGTTATTATTTGGATGGGAGACCTCCAAGGAATTCCAAGGTGGCCATGCAGAGGCAAGCAGTGGCAAACTGCCTCTGGACCTCTCTTGCCTTGAAAACCCTGTGGGATAATAATAGTTCGACTGTGACTCGATGGCATTTTACACACACACTCTGGGGCTCACAGAGTTGACCAAGTCCCACCGCACTCTGATGTCAACGGCTCAGCCCTCGCAGTTGCAGCAACGTTTGAACTCTCCCAGTCGGGTCCAGCAGTCCAGTCGCCCCAGTCCCTGGACTCTCAGCACTTCCTTGACCACTGGTATAATTAAGGAGGACTGATATTAATAAAGGGGTTGTGCAATATCTTTTGTGATATATTAAGAGACGCGGTGGCTCAAGTGGTTAAGACGCTGAACTGCAGGCTGTGGAAGGTCGGTAGTTCAGCCGTTCGAGACCCGAGTGTGCCGCATGACGGAGTGAGCTCCCGTCTCTAGTTCCAGCTCCTGCCATCCTAGCAGTTTGAAAGCAAGAAATTGCAAGTAGATAAATAGGGACCACTTCGGTGGGAAGGTAACAGCGTTCCATGCGCCTCAGTGTTTAGTCATGCCGGCCACATGACCACGGAAACATCTTCGGACAGCGCTGGCTCTTCGGCTTTGAAACGGAAACGGAGATGAGCACCGCAACCCTAGAGTCGGATTCGACTGGCTTTCGAGCAAGGGAAACCTTTACCTTTACTAAGAGACGATACTTGGATGTTTTGATATATGATTCTTTCTCTGTATTAAGGCTTAGATGGTAAATAATGTATGGTGAATAAATTGTAAGAATATAAAACAAAAAATACATTAAAATTATTTGAGATATTTTATAATCGTCTGTAGCACAGTATCTGCTGGTTTTGGATTGGGAGGCTTTGCAGGGGGGCTGCGGAGGAGGCCAAGGAGACTGCCGA